CGAGCATGGACACGTCATTCTCTTCCACTCCCTCGATGAATCCTCGCCTGGCTCTTCCAGACAAATTCGACGGAAACCCCACGAAGTGTAAGGGATTTCTGTTGCAATGCTCCTTGTTTGTCAACCAACAGCCTGCGATGTACACCACTGATATCAGCAAGATCTCCTTTGTATGTTCACTCCTAACTGGGAAGGCTTTGGAGTGGGCCACGGCAGTATGGAGGGAGGATGGATTAGCTTTCCCCACATTTAGTACTTTTCTTCGACGCTTCCGAGAAATATTCGAACATCCTGAAGGAGGTAAAGATGCGGACGAACAATTGCTCGCCTTATCTCAGGGCAGAAATACCGCAGCTGAGTACGCCTTGTCATTTCGCACTCTCGCCGCTCAGACTGATTGGGTTGAAAGCACGTTGAAACTGCTTTTCCGCAAGGGACTGAGCCCTGAACTCCAATCGGAACTAGCTTGCAGGGACGAGGGGAGAACGCTCAACCAATTCATAGAACTGGCTATTCAAATTGACAATTTGATTCGTTCTCGTCGCCCTACCAGAACGATACCCACCAGTCATCCTGTTCCAATCACTTCCTCACCTTCCTCCTCTGTGGAACCCATGCAGCTCGGATACACTCACCTGTCTCAAGAGGAGCGAGAGCGCCGAATCACTCAACGTATTTGGCTCTCTACTTCTCCAAGTTAGATCTCCGCAATGCTTACAATCTCATCCGCATCAGAGAGGGTGATGAGTGGAAGACAGCCTTCTCCACCTGTACTGGGCACTATGAATATTCCGTTATGCCTTTCGGCCTTGCTAACAGTCCTTCTGTGTTCCAATCCTTCATCAATGACGTCTTCCAGGACATGCTGGATCGTTGGGTAATTGTTTACATCGATGACATCCTTATCTACTCCAACACATATGAGGAACACGTACAACACGTGAGGTCAGTTTTACTCATCGACTCATCGACCATAAACTGTATGCCAAAGCTGAGAAATGTGAATTTCACCAGACCGGTACGTCATTCCTGGGTTACATCATCAGTCAGGAGGGAGTGGCGATGGATGAGAAGAAGGTCAGAGCTGTTCTCGACTGGCCACAACCGGCGACACTAAAAGAACTACAACGTTTCTTAGGATTTGCAAATTTCTACCGCCGCTTCATCAGAAACTTCAGCTCCGTAGCTGCCCCTCTAACCTCCATGACAAAGAGAAGCTCTGCACATCTCATATGGTCTACCTCAGCACTAGACGCCTTCACAGAACTCAAATTACGCTTCACATCTGCTCCCATTCTTCATCACCCTGATCCTGAAATCCCGTTCATAGTCGAGGTGGACGCTTCAAATACTGGCATCAGGGCCATCCTCTCACAGCGGCATGGTAATCCACCTAAGCCAGAGTATGGTCAGCTTTCTTTCAAAAACTAAATGTCAACATCAGCCTCACCTCAGGATATCATCCACAATCTAATGGCGAGACGGAACGACTCAATCAGGTGATCACACGATCACACGAACGGAGGAGCGTTCCTGGGTCAATGCTAAGGACATCCTCGACCCCACACTCACCAACGAGTTTCATAGGATGCACCCGGATAAGCCGGCCCCTCGACCACGTGGAAGACCCCGGCGTCGCTTTTGAACTTTATCCGGACTACACACACACACACACACGCACACACACACTCACATACCTGGCTCTGATTACTCCTGCACCTGACTCTCATTAAGTGGACTATTTAACCAGCTCTCAGACTCTCCCTCATTGCGAAGTCTTGTATTGCCCCAGTGTACATTCCTGAGCGTTTCTTTCCATGTCTGGCCTCTCTGTGTATTACCTTGGACTGTTTCTCTCCTTCTGATTGCCTGCCGCCTGCCCCCGAACTCTTGCTATTGTTTCATTGACTACTGATTGTTTGCTGCCTGCCCCGACCCTGCAGATGGATCCTCACTCTGTTGACGTCTCGTTACAATAAATGTGCAATATTGATTCATATCTTATTATTATTTAGTTATTGCGTTATATATAATTTAATGCAAATGATAAAATGTAATGATATTTAATTAAATAATTTTATTATTAATTTATATAATTTAATAATTTCCTTCTAAAATCCTCACATAGGCTTTTAATGTCACTCAACTCATCGCAAGGTGGCATCTGTACAATCTCATAATGTCAACACCATTCTGTCTGTGTGTTTTTTTTTTTTTTGGTCTTGGATGTGTTTGACCGGCAGCATCTGTTGTAACTGTGTGTAAAGTAGCATAAATGGATGTGCTGTTTCACCCTGAAGGATGGAGTCAGTCAATTATTGTGAGTTTTTTGTAAACAGCTGATAAGAATAAGAAATTTTTATGGTTGTTTTCATAGATTTTTGTTAAGATTAACAGAAGGATGGTGGCTGATATCACCCGATGGAGATCAGGTGTGAATTACTAGCAGGGATGATATTCAACATTTCTCTCGTGGCTCTAGGATCTTTGATGTTAAAATGTCCACCTCGCAACCTGCCAAGAAAGTTTACTGATGTCGTCATTGTTGACGCCTAATCTCCGAGCTCATACATTTAGCCTACAAGGTTATCCATTGCTCCTATCTGTGACTTCCAGATCATACATCTCTACTTCTGTTCCCAGCATGCCAACTGCTGCTGAAATTAAAAAAATAGCTCGTAGGATCAAAAAGTCTTGAGGGATTGAATAGGCACTGCAACTCTCTGTCTTTGTGTGTAGATGTCTTCGTGAAAACAATCTCAAGTACTATATGAATTTACAGACGGATGCACATACATTATATAACATCTTTCCAGTTTGGTCAAGATGACTAGATGATGCATGATGCACAAACTATTAAATGCAAGTTTTACAACAACAAAAAACTAATTCACCTTGAATATGATGATGCACGGTTTATGTAATTGGATTACCAAAATAATTAGTACATTTATGCAACCAACATAAAATGTTTTAGAAACATTGTGAAAATAGCTGCCAGTAAGGGTGTATAATGTTAATCGTCTGCGATAATATCGTAATTGTTGTTTTAATAGAGTATGTCATTCACTTTGCAAAAAACAAACCAAAACATGTCTTGAGAGTCCAAAAGCCTTCACTATTTGATGAAGCCTATTAGAATGCATTTAGAAAACACCATCAAAAAATCCCTGTATGGGTTTTTGTTTTTTATGTTTATAAGATATGATATAGTTAAGCAAAATTACGTAAGCAAGAGTGCAAATGTGATATTTTATACAACAGTTCAAGAAACAACAATTTTATATTTAGTGGGGTTATATTTTTTTGTTTTGCCAACGAAAGTTGGACAAGACAAAGCCGGAGCTGAACATTTGTGCGTCTCAGAGCAACACTACTGCAGTGTTTCGTTCCTGAATGAATCTATTTATTTGAGTCTGTGATTGAACAATCCATTTATAAAGATAGCGACTACATCCGAAATCGCATGCTCTCATGAGTAGATACTTGTTTTGTATAAGTAATTATTTTGCGACCGCTAAAAAGTATATTCTATATAGTATAAATGTGTGTAGTATGAATGTAATCTGGATGTACTACATCCACCATGTTGTCATTGTCACGTAACCTACCAGCGCCAGTTGCGTCAAATCACTGCCTTTCATAAGTCTTCTCCCGTGGCCTCATGGGATAAAGTGCCCGTATGCCCGTTAGGGCTGTCAAAAAAAAAATCGAATTTCGAATATTCATCGAATTTTAAATAAAAATCCACATCGAATTTTAAGTGTGCGTCAGGCAGCCTTATCAGTGGCGCACGAAATGCGACGACGATGTAAGTGTCATTGCATTTTAATGCTTTTGTTAGCCTGTCCAGTTGAAGCCACTAGATGTGGCGCTGCTATGTTGTTAATTCAAAATATTGCAGAAAAAGAGAACAATCAATGCGGAGAAGATGTTGTTTACGTCAAAACTGAAACCAAGCCGTTCACACAGAACACATATTTATCGCATTTTCTAGAGGGACGTCTATCACCGTTGCACTCGCGTCTCGCACAACCGCATGTTTAGAAAGCTATGTTACTAAGCTAAGTTCAACTTTTAAAAAACATGTCTCGAGACTTTATGGCGGTTTTCCCCATCCCACTGCATCTCAAGATTTTAAATGAAGAAAGTACTCTTTGTGATTGGTTTTCAGTCCTTTGTATTAAACTATACATACATGCATGATGCGGTTTTGTTTCTAATTGTTTAAGCAACATAATTATATATGGTTTATAAACATTAATTTAAACATTATGCACTTTTTTCAAAGATAGTCGTGTTATTTTATTACGCTTTGAAGAAACGTGCATAATATTTTGCTCGATGTGCCCTCTTGTGGCCTCAGGAGAGAAGCCAACAGCTTTTTTCCCCCCTAACTGAAATTATGCCTTTTAAATTCTAATATAATTTTTAATATTGATAATATTATTAATATTCGTTTTTCAGCCATTTTGACAGCCCTAATGCCCATATCGTATGCATACTTCAGAATGACGCCGGAAGTGGTAGGTGATCTGGGTACTTTTTTTGTCTACCCTACCGTGAATTCGGACATACTTCTTTTGTCACATACTCTTTTTTCGCCTACTAGATATAGTAGAGAAGTATACAATTTCAGATGCAGCCGTTTCTAAATGAATCAGCCATTTTGAACAAATTATTTGAATAATTTAATGAATCCTTTATTAAGGGACTTGTCGCCACCTACTGGTGGTTTTAGTATCATATTTATTTATCCATGACAGGCCTAAACTAGCTATGGTACCTGTACAAAGACACACTAAGCAAAATTGTATTTAATTATTGTTATCAAAAAAATCACAACAAATATTGAGATACAATTTTTTTTTGTCAATATCAATCACCCCTAGCTGCCAGTTATTGTGTGTGTGGTTACCAAGATGGAACAAAAGGTTTTTTCTTGGTCTTTTTTTTTTTGTCCAGTTATTTTTTAAACATATGAAACCTCATGTTGTGCTTTTATTTTGAAGTTTATTTTTAATGCTTTTATTTTGTCTTTGTTCACAGATCCTTCTCTTTAAAATCCAGCTAGGTCTTGTTTGGGTAATTAGTTTCATTATACTTATACACAATTTAATGTGTGATGTTCTTAAAGCCTGTCAATGAGTGATTGTT